AAATTGAAACTGAATACATGTGATTATATATCTTTTCAAATGAAAATCTTTATCTGAAGTTTCTAAAGAAATTAATCAGCATGTAATGATTTTTTCATCTGAAGTGTAATGCACAGTTTTGCTTTATATTTGTGAACAGCCATCTTAAATGAGCAATGGACTACGAGTACCAAGTATAATAAAAATTACCCCTTTTTTTTTTTTTTTTTTGGTGGAGTTGCCGGGGATTTAAACTGAATAAAAATATTTTCAAAGAAAATCTTTTCTACCAATTATTATAAATGCTGTCTACTCCTTAAATCCTTCCATGATCTCAATCTAAGTTAAATGGGTTTCCAGTCCCATTTTAAATACCCATAGTTCCTTGCATCTCTTTATATTATACAAGTTTGTGTTCTATTTATGTGTGTACCTTTTTATCTGTTGCCTAGACATTCATTGTACCTAAAGGAGCCTCAAAATATAAAGAGGCAAAATCATCAGTTTTCTTGGGATTTTTGTTCATGCTAAGGATTGAACCCAGGAATGCTTTACCACTGAGCTACATCCAGTCCTTTTTATTTTATTTTATTTTATTTATTTATTTTGAGACAGGGTCTCACTGACTTACTTGTTAAGACTGACATTGAACTTGGGATACTCCGACCTCAGCCTCCTTAGTTACTGGGATTACAGACATGTACCACCAGGGAATTTGTTCCACTCCTCTGTCCCAGGAATTTATTAAGTCTGGAAGATGGCTCAGAAATCTTACTTTTTATTCAGTACAATATGGAATTCTATAAGTTACCTGTGAACATTTGCTTACTGGGTGATCTTAGGAAATCAAACTCCTTTTAGCCTATTTCTTCATTTGTAGAAATATTTTAAATTTATCTTAAAACTTGTTAAAATATAGCATGTATGAGCCTGGACCTTGCCTGGACTTCTGAAAGCCTTGTATCATAAACTAGAGCTATATACACTTATTAAAATTTATGTCCAGAGAAGGGCACAGATTCAAGAATTCAGGCCTAGAATAATATTATGTGCAAGAGAGTATATTAAGACAGTCTCTACATCTAAAGAAAAAGACGAGAAGATGTAGGGCAGGAAAAAACCCTGTAAGTTATTTACTGAATCAACAGTTTAATAATGTGAACTTAAAAAACAAAAACACTGCTTTTACTAGAGTTTTTCCATTTAAATAGTCTTAGGTGTATTAGTGTCTTCTTCGTATATAAGCTAAGAAAATGGGGAAGCGGTAAAATGAACAATGAGAATTATCCAACACTGATAAAAAACTCACTTAACGTTATATTTCGCAATCCTGAAAAATTTTTGTTGTGCTGGGGATCTAACCCAGGGCCTTGTGCATACAAGGCAAGCACTCTACCAACTGAGCTATATCCTCAGCCCCCAATACTGTAAGTTTAAGATTAATAGTAATAGTAATTAATAGTAATAATCATCAAATGTTATAAAAGTGATTATTTGTACATACAGTATCAAATGGGAGGTTGGACTACACCTAACCTTTCTATTCTTGAATTCAATTCTAATAGGATTAGTATTGGCATTTGCAGGAGAAAGCTAGAGACCAGAACTTCAGAAGATACATTTTAGGGTTGCTTTGCTAAAGAATGCAAGATATTGAAGTACTCACACATGGCTTCAGTTTATGACAAGACTTTCAGAAGCCCAAACATAAAATGGAATGGAGAGGGCTGGGGATGTAGCTCAGTTGGTAGAGTGCTTGCCTCACATGCAGGAGGCCCTGGGTTCAATGCCCAGCACCACAAAAAAACTGAATGCAGAAAGAGACACCTAAAGATTTCTGTCAGCTTATTTMGATGGTATAAAGGGGGGCTTGTGGTAGAACATTCCATTTCTTGACACTGGTTACACAGAGATAAAATTCCATAAAACTGTATACTACATAATAGTGCATTAGAACAAATT